GTTTGGTCAGTCGGGTAATTAGCTGACACCGACTTTTCAGCTCGTGTTACGCAGGTCTTCTTCTAGGTTGACAGGGTTGATTTCTGAAGTTCTTCTGTGGTCTGCAGCTGTTGCTACAGTTGGAGCTAAAAGGTGAGCTTTGCGTCAGTGCTGCTGGTTCAGCGGTTTTTCGACAGAAGGCGCTGCATTGCCTAACCACTGTCAAAGAACAGTGCGTAAAACTTCGAATTGTGCAACATGTAACAGAGAAAGGTCACGATCCTAAATGGACAGATTGCATCGGCATCATCAAAGAAAGAAACTGCCTGACTGATCAGATGCATCACATAGGCATAATTGTCCAGTCTTGCGACAGCGTTGTTCGGGACAAAGGATACGAATTTTGTACGGACTGAATAAGCCTTGTAGCCGAAAAATTACTTAACCAGCAGTATAGACCAAAAGCGCACTTTTTGGCCCCAAACGTTACAACGGCTGCGAGCCACAGAACATGCTTCGAAAATCAACCCCGTCCACCTTGAGGAAGACGCATGAGACATGAGCCGAAACGTCGGTATCAACAGATTTGTCTAACTGCGTTGCTTATGAATAAGCTGTTTTCATACAGTTTTCGGACATCCATCATTTGTGTTCATGTTTGTTCCTGCTTATGGTTTCCTCCATTTTTATTCTTCCTCAGCGTGTCGGTCACATAGCAAGATTCTTTGTCAAATTTGTTAATATTGAGTAGTTTATTATCAGAATCAGTGTTGATATGACCACTTTGTATCGTAGCGTAACGTCCTCTAAGCAGAATGATGAATGAACTGTTAATCGGCGCAGATCCGCAACTATCTTTTTCGCCCTTGTCGATGGAAGCATAGGGCCACTTTGTTACCGCACCTTAAAAATCCAGAAAGGGAATGCCTCTTTTTGTAAGTCCATTTGTTGCTAGCGCTGATGATGTCTTGTTTTTTAGCCTAACAGTAAGGCTATTTATTTCCCGAATTTTACGAACTATTTTTATTATTTTAATTAGACGTAGTTAATTGGAAAATGTTAAGAACAGATAATTGAAGGTTTAGTTTCGACTGCTGAAATTGAATGCGTTTGCTTTTATTTTAGATTTTCGAATGGTGGTACTTCAGGAAGTACGGTGCTTCCTTTATTGAGTCTATGTCGTTGAGCCCATTAAGCTGGTTTGGATACGGCAGTCAGAATGTACTTCAAGACAACGCTGCTTCAGACGCGGAAGAAAGTAACGGCAGTTCGGCTTCGTCCAGCGAACCCTATGTTCCAGGTGACCATTTCTGATTATGTAAATGCTGCTTGGAAAACGAGCTGGATGACAATTTGCAAACAAATAATGGACTGTCAGAAGTAATGGTAAAGGAAGGTTTACAACTAAATCTAACGTGTCCTCTTTAATGAATGAAAAATATCAGAAACCTCATATAGTGAATCTCTAAGACGCCAAACGTGAAGCCGTTGCATCACTCAGAGGCGTACTCTCGAGCTGCAGCGCTGTGAAGGCTCCGGTTAATGTAAATCTGATATGTTGAGGCTACGTGTCTCTAAAACGGTTGATAAACGGCACAGTAAAGGTTATGAACAGACTCTGACAGTGGTTTCCACAAAGCCACTAGAGCACAGACGTACACTGTAGTTACATTGTTCTGTAGTTTTCGAACGGTCGATAGAAGCGAGTCGAACTTATTGAACGTATTGTACCATCGGTTGCTACTAGAGTGGTTCTGGGTGATACTCTGTATAATATACCACCTAATGTCGAGTAGCTGCTCTCGGAACGCGTGTAGAAAACCGGCAACTTTCTTAAACTTGATCGCAGGAGCATCTACGTCTTGTACATGCATGTTGAAGCGACATCGCCGATTCGACGAAAAACATGACGCATGCACTTATATTGCAACGACTGTTTTGTTGCCGTTGTAAATGAAATCTTCAGCTTCCCGTCTCTTGTTGGAATTTTGCGTAGCATCAGCCTCTGTAAGACGAAATCTCAAGCTTTCCGTTTAAAAATGCCCTCATTTGCGTGGGCGTCATTTGGAAAGCATATGAAGACTTGGACGAACAGTGCAACATCGTCGGCGTAAGCTCGGATGACGAATGAGTGACTGATCACAAGGTCTGTTGTTCTGAGAATACAACTTTCTTCCATAAACCTTCCTTCGCCCGGCGGAAATGGATACGAATAAAGGTATGGACCGACAGATGTCATATGCCATATGTTATGTTTATAATAGGAGCTGTTCGAGAACATTTACATTCTCTAACTCAAAGCAAGAAATTTTTCTGTTTGCAGTGTCTACAGCGATTTAAACTTCATATAGACAACACAGAGGGGTGCTTAAGTACCCGATGCAGCACAGCAATCGAGCCTCGCATTCATAGTGAAGTTTCTCTTCGTTGCGTTGGACTGTAGTAGATCCTTCATTCCCGTAGCTTAAAAACTAGCCTACCAGTAATACATCAACAAGGGCTTTGTCGTTGCTGCTCAAAGTGTAATTAGTTGTAGTAACGACAGTCAGCGTTCCCATATTTTCTTCTGCGCAGGGACATTTTTGCATCTCAGCTTGATACATAACGTGAATTCCAGACCTTCAA